CACTGAAGACGGACACAGAGACTGTGGCAGATGTGCTCACGCCATTTTTGTCAAAGGATTGAAAGCAATGAAAGGTGTTTTCTGATCGCCTAATGAAAGGCGACCTCGTCAAGTTAACAAATATAGGCGACTCATGCTTCTCTTTGCAAGAATTGACGTGGAACAATATTCTCGTCCACACCAAGTAAAATACTGAGTTGCGTCATCTTGTAGAGGAGGCAAGATGCACTGGATGCAGAACTCTGCCTGTTGGAATCAGCTCGATTCAGGAGAGGCGAATATGTGCAGATCAAACTGCAACTCTACCCGTCATCATCGAACAAGGCAGAGAATTGCGGTCAGGTATCTAATTCAAATTCATCCACTTAGAAGAGACCTGTGACAGACAGTGTTGACGGTGAAGTAATTTGGAAACGATTCCAACGCTGTGGAGAGCAGTGACCCAAATACTGATCAACCTCATTCAACAGATGGCTACAAAACAATTCTATGTGTCATGTAATCCACAACTGATAACTGAGAGAGGAATTTTAGTGTGAATATAAGCGTAATACAAGCTGACTACCTTCTTTCATCAATGATATTCCTTATTGTGGTGGATTGGATTATGAGATGACAGAACGTGCGTTTGAAGTGAGTGAGAAGACAGCGATACGCTGGTACACAGACACTAAATTCTAGGAGACCAGGATTTCGCGTGTGGATGACTTATGTTTAATTTCACACAGACTCGGAGTCTTGTAGACAGACGAAAAACAACAAACTGGCTGAAGAATCCGACAGCGAAGATGGGACTTCAGGTGGACATAGAGAATATGGAGGTGATGAAAATAACCAACCACTACCGCCAACTGCAACAACAACCAGCAGCGACTACCATCAACCGGGGAGATTTGAAGGAAGTTGCTTTCTTCACTCATCTGGGAAATATTGTTTCAACCACAGGCACTCGGAATTTGATGAAGATTTCAAAACCATCCAGCCAGAGTCGAAAGAGCGAGATACGCCCTCATCAACCTAAAATCAGTTTGAAAATCTTCCGCTGTCACTCAGCCAGCACAAAGAACGGGATTCGAATTTTCAACATCATTGAGAAGTTAGTCAGTTTATTCTTCTATACGAGTCACAAACTTGCACTTCTTGTCACGGCAAGCATTTTCAGGAGGTTAAAGACTTTTGTCAACAATTGTCTCCTCTGCCTTCATATTCTAGATCAAATAGCTGGCCAGAATGAACCAGCATCAAGAAACTCTAACTAGGAAGAGACCAACCAAGAGCCGACTGCTCAGAGAATACTCGTGAGAAAGTGGAGATTGTTTTGGTTCACACTAACGAGATCGTTGAATAAAACTGATTGTCGGGCGATCTCTCGTGTTGAACGCGAACGGTCAGCATCGAGTGAATCATCGTAGGGTAAAATGGAGTAGGTCTTTCTAGAAGGAAATGAGAAACGATGAGCGATTGTGGACCCAGCTGATGAGGACATGAGAAATTAGGACAACATGAAGGTGTGTTATAAAACTCAAGGAACTCAAGGGAATAATAATAATAACAGGAATTAAGCAAAATTCAGTATCAGTTACTTGTAGTAACACTGTATTTAACATGACTTGCATACAGTACATAGATGATAACATCTGACAAATGATGAAAAATTTAAAGCAAGTTCCAAATTTGCGTTACTCAAGCTTCAAATGATATTTGTCTTAAATTCTGTAATTTATAAATTAGCTTTCACCTCCAACTATTCTGATCTCCCACCAAAAAGTATACAGATTTCAGTTATAAATCAATAACTATATATCCTGAAATGTCAAGAGGGTATGTAATCGAACGCTTTCATGCGTAATACAACTAAAAAATTCCATAATTAGTGAAAAAAACTTGTTCTCAATGTGTTTAACTTTATTTTGATAATGCGAAGGCGTAAAGTCGTTTACCTCTGCATATATCTAGAAACATACCACCTGAATCAGTAAAAAATATTAAAGAGGAAAAAGAGTGAAAACAATGTAAAGAAATTGGTCGAATTTCTTTGCATGTATCTGCTGAAAACTTGTTTAATATATGCTAAAAGATATTGTGAATCTCATTTAATCTCATTTTGTTACTACTCAGCGATTCGGTTGAAACATCAATTCCAACATGAATTCTGTTTCCGTTCCAGTCATCTATCTGCACTTCAAATTTTCACAAAGCCTGTCTGTCAGAACATGCTATTTCATCAAGTGTCCTTCCAGCTGATGGACTCCTTCTTAGCTTACATTCTCATTTTTACAGCATTCGGTTAACACTGGGACCGAATTATTCACCATAGTCCTTAATTAAATCCACAACAAGGGTGGTGTTTAACATCATTTCATTTCCTACAATGCCTATCTTAATTAAGAAATTCATATTGTGGAGGCGAAAGTGACTCGTTCTATGTCTATGTTCTGTAAGCCATATTATTCGTCATGAAGTCAACGTGGTCATAAGATGAAAGTTTCCGATATCCTTCAAGAAAGCAAGTGTTCAGTGAATAATTTGTAGACCTGAGAAACATGAATGTGAACGAAATTGTCTATACTACAAAGGAGATTTTTGGTTCGCTTTTGAATTACAAACAATTCGTGCTCAAGAACATTTACCAGTGCGGCTTGGTAAAGGTGCAGTGAAAACCATCAACAGTTCAATATTAGACCACCTGGTCCAAACCGGCCAGAATTGAAGAATCCTGCTCTATCATCTACCAAGTTCCAAAGAGTTTGCTTCATATTCCAAATAGCAGAGGCTATCGCGATTAGTCTGGAACAACCAGTGCTTTGTGTGCTATAGAAGCAAGTCTCTCCACTACTACCGCCCTGGCCTTCAGGGGAATTTCTGCTACTACATTTCCCGTTTTTCTGATATTCGGCATACTGTTATGTTGCTGCCACTGAACTGTAATCTATTGATACCATTATTGATTTAATGTTATTTGAACAAAATTAATGTTTTTAATAGCACTAATTTATTCACTATTATGTATCTATAACTATAGAACCTAATGATTAAGTTATCGAAAAGAGCATTCTTTGTTCAGTAGCCATTCTTTTGAAAAATTTACTACTACTAATAACAATAATAATTCGAGAACTAATCAATGTAACTAAATTATACACACTGCATAACACTAAAGGTATGGAAAGCAAAGCGAATGGAGGTTTTTGGGATGCTTAAGTAACTACTGAATTATGTCACTTCAAAAGTTCCTCAAAGAGATAAATTTAGAAAAACAAATTTGTCAGTTGATAGACTCTGTAGTTGACATGAATAAATTCATCATCTTCTCATGGTGGATATTCACTGAATATCTGTTAATGGTATTTTTTGGGGTTGAATAGTGTAGTTTCAACGCGTTTGACATTATTATGATTCTGAGAAGAAAAGCACTTTTGTTTCAGATACGAACCAGCATGCTTGGAACTTTAAGCATTCCTACCCACCGATTGTCTCTAATACTTAATGACCAATTTGAATCGATTAGGCCAAATCAAGAATACGAATATTATGAGAAAGTTTGAAATACTGAAATAGTTCACAGAAATACAGCTGGTTGACGAGTGATCTTTTATTTGCTTTCTTCTATTACTTTTATTTTATGCCTTTGCATTCCCAGTGAAACATGGGGCTTCAAGCTACAGCTTTAAAGTTTTAGTAGCAGTGGTATTTATTTTTACGAGGTGGAGTTGCTAGCCTCACGCTTAACCTTCCCTCACGTCACCGGCCAGCTTACTACAAACTATGAGAGGTCGAGAGGTTTGAGAGAATCGAACCCTAACCAACTTGCTTGAGTGACCAGTGTTCCCCACCCCCTAAATACCAACGCCGTTGACGAGCGATGGCAGTTGATTCTTATATGTATTCAACAATGGATGTGGTACAGATAATGTTTAAACACGAAGTATCTCAAAGTTATTTTTACGAGAACCATAAGTACAAATTAGTGAGCAATATTAAATTCTGCATATAATGAGTGATAAAAACAGCAATGTAAAAGAGATTTTTTTCTTACATCATGAGACATCTTCATTAAACACTAATTTAAACTTATGAGTATGGAATTAAGTCAATTAAGGCTTTCGAAATAGTTGTTCTTACAAAATGCAGTACAGTATTTAGAGTAATCTTATTAAATAATCATAAATTAAAATCAACTTCAGTAAAGTATTACTTACTCAACATGGAGAGAATCATGTCTAAATACGAATTGTACTTTTTTTAAAACGCTGCTAGTATGACAAAATAAAAACCTCAATCTGAAAACGGATTGATATCAGTTAGAGAACCATTGAAAACCAGGGAATACTGGACAGTTGTTTCATCCTAGTTCGGGAATCATTGGCAGTATGCAATCCCTGCCAGGGTTCGAACCTAGCACCTTCCCATCACAAGGCGAGCACGTATACCATTCAACCATGACCCATCAATTCTAACTTCTACGAATTCGAGATTTATAGCGACTGTCACCAACAAATGTCATCGATAGAAAATACATCCTCATGCTTGATTGGATAGACCTCACTAATCACGAATTCTCACTAGAACTCCAGGAAACTCCGTCCTGTAGCGAGCATCAGATTAATTTTCTGTAGTTGGTTTTTAAGGATTAGATTTGTTTTTATGAGTTTGACCGCGGATTGATGTCAGTTAGAGAACCAGTGAAAAGCAGACACAGGGAATACTGGACAGATGTTTCATCCTAGTTTGGGGATCATCCGCAGTACGCTGTGTTCGAACCCTGATGGTGGGTAGGTACTACCAAGGATTCCCAAACTAGGATGAAGCAGCTGTCCAGCACTCCCTGTATCTGCTTCTCAGTGATTTTCTAACTGATATCAATCCGTGGTCAAACTCGTAAAAAGAAATCTAATCCTTACAAAAACAACTCTTGAAAAACCTAAGTGATTATTTCAACATTATTATTATAATTTTATTAAACATTCATTAAAAAAGTTTAGCAAAATATGTTCACTCACATTTTATTCACCAGGTATTCACAATTATGAAATCAGGGACAATTTTCACTTATTTGGTTAAACAGAAATAAATTTTTTAAGGGAGGAATTTGAATTCCTTCCTACCTACCTTGTGTTTGTAAAATTCCCAAGTCAACTCACTTGGCCAATCAGCCAATCACAATTGATGACAGATAAAAGAACCAATAGGAATGAAGTGGAAAAAATTGCTACTGAACAATAATTTAACATTAGTTATGGTAAATATCCTTCATCTATATCAAATATTTTCTTGTAAAACAGTGAAAATTTCACGTTGATCTTATAGACTTTGTTTTTGAAAGCACTTGTAATAAGTGTAAACATAACGAAGACGATAAGGTGAACACATTATATTGAAAATGCACCAGATGAGCATTGAAAAAAGCAACAAGTCAGGCTAAACAAGTGTCTGGAAAAATCAAAGATTACACTAAATTTTTGACGGAATATGTAGACTAACAGAGAGTGTTAAAAAGGGCCAAGTTTTAAAAAGAATGAATAATGAAAACATTGTAGACGTAGATGAATGGAACATGTATTCAAATTCTAGAAGTTGTAGTCAGTCGATTAGGCTGTTCTTAAATCAATTGGAATCTTATTGCTGATTACATTACTTTATGTTGAATTACAGTATCTTTCTAGGGATTTTAGCTGAAGTTATAGAGAGATGCTTAACTAAGATGGGAAGTAAACATTTGATCAATAATACTAGGCATATGTGTGTCTAATAAGTTTATCATTTCATGAGTCAGCTACGTATAGGTTAAGATAATATGCAGTTTAAGTGATTTTTAATTCACCTAATGAACTATTAGCGCAACAGTCGTTTTCCTCAATCATGTGTCATAATGAACTCTAACTTATATTCTAGTTTTTATCGAAAGAACATCTACACACTTAGAATAGTTGTTGTCCAGTCACAGGAACTGTTATTATTATTCATTTAAGTTCGTAAAGGAACTTAATGGCATATGAAGCGCTTCACCATTTCGTCCTCTTCTCCACTGTCTTTTATACCTGGCTGGACTATTGATCTTAAGCCTCAATTTCCTCTATTTTACTCCCAAACTCAAGCCATATTCATCTAGACAAAATCTAGATGACGATATGTGGTGTCATTCAACGATCTTCTCATCTTGTGTACAGTGCATCCCGAGCATCATGGGAATATTTGTTGAAGAGTATGTTATTGGCTTGTTTGTTGTCACAGTTCCTCCTTGCTGATCGTTTCTGGTAGACCATCTGATCACCAGAATGACGACAGAAAATTTGCTGTAGATAAATGTTTGCATTTGCTTTTTAGTAATGCTTTTAGCGCTGCACATACCAAGTCTATGAAACATAAAGTAGCGTTGATTGAGTTAACATTGGTGTTGAAAATCCGAATATTGACCATAAATTGATTGAAGTAGATTTCTCCACTAAATTCAGGGCGATGAATATTCATCTAGCTTTTCCGATCCTGACTGGAATTGACGTCCTTGACAGTGCCACCACCAGGAGTCAAGACAATGCTGTCCAAAAAAGCGAAAAAGGTAACAACATTTGTATTTTGGTCTTTAATAACGACTGGTGCTCAATTTCATTGATCAGATATCTCCATCAACTTTCTATTTCTCTAAGTTTACTTAAAGGGCTGTATTGGCTGACTGCCTTGCCTATTCTGACAGTTCGTTGGTGTTCGCCAGTCTACTAGTCTTCGGGTCTGTGTGAAATTAAACATGTCATCCACACGCGAAATCCTGATCTCTTAGAATCTCATTATCGGTGGTTCAGCGGATTCCTGTCTTCTCACTCACTCACAACGCGCAGTCTGTCATCTCATAATCCAGTCCAACACAATAAGGAATATCATTGATGATAGTAGATAGTCAGCTTGTCTTACTGCTGTTTTCACATTGAAATTCTCAACTGAGTTTTCAGTTTTGGATCACGTGACACATATAATTGTCGTATAACCATCTGTTTAATGAGGTTGACCAGGATTTGGGTTACTGCACGCCGTACTGTTGAAGTGGTTTCGAAATTGCTTAACCGTCAACACTATCTGTCGAAGGTGTGTTTGAAGTCGATGAAATTGAGGTGAGAGTTTGACTGCCATTCTATGCTTTGTTGGATGATGATGATGGGTAGAGCTGCAGTTTGATCGGCACATGATTTGCCTCTTCTAAATCAAGGTGATTCCAATGGGCCGAGTTCTGTATGCAGTGCATCTTACATTCTCTACAGGATGATGCGACTCAGTATTTTATTTGGTGTGGACGAGAGCATTCATTGTTCCATGTCAGTTCTTGCAAAGAGAGGTGTGAGTCGCCCATATTTAGTAGCTTGATAAGGTTGCCTTTCATTGGCCGATCAGTAGACAGCTTGCATTCTTTCCAATGATTTCGCAATAGTGGCATGAGCACATCTGCCACAGTCTCCATGTCCGTCTTCAGTGCTTCAGGGTGGGGGAATTCCGTGTGTTCCTGGTGCTTTCCCAATTGGATTTCAGTAGCTAGATTACATTCAAAATTTCCGTTTTCGTTGTAGGATCGGTGTTCACTTAGAGGTAGTTCTTTGTGTGTTGTTGTTGGAGGTTGTATTTGTGGGTGAGTTTCGTGCGACGGTCGATTTGGTAGTCATTTGAAGTGGTGACTTTATTGTTTTGGTTTCTCTCTCCTCCTTGATAATTAGGTCACCTTAACCATGTTTTCTAGTTGTCACCTGAGTTGCTCTCATGTCGGATGGAGTGCTGGTTGAGAGGTATCTTTCACCTGTGGCCTGCCTGTTCTGCTTCAGTTACTAACAGCCAGTGTGTTGCAGGATTGTCATTTGTCTATGTGTGCAGTCTTATTCATTTCTCTGTTCAGTTGGATGTAGGTTGAACCCATCTTCACCTTGTGTTGTCTATCGTTGTATTGGTTCATCTTCTCTTTCATCATCCTCTACTGCTCTCTTCTATCAGCTTCCAGTTAGGTATTCGTTGAGGTCCACTGATTGTTTTACTTCCCCTTTCTTCCTAGTAGTTTTGTTAATGTTTCCTTGAACATCGTTGTCGGTGAGTTCTCGTGTTTTTCCACTTAATTTTCCTCAGTGTTGTCATGGAGTGTCTCTGACTTTTGTGTGATGTCTGAAATGAAGGTGTCCTCTGTACTTGTTTCCTTCTTTTTCTGAGTATTGATGTTGATTTGTGGTCTACTTTTAGTTGTTTTGAAGGCTTTTATCTTGAATTTTAAGGTTCTTTGAAGTAGATGATGGTGTGAGCACACATCTTTCGCCTAGTCTACTTTGTTTCCGGTAGGCTGCGTCTCCACTTCCTTGAACAGCTTTGAGATGATGTCTGTCAGATTTTCGGCCTCCCCAATTGAATATTTCATATGATCGCGAAGAATAAATTGTTTTCCACACGTCAGGCAAAAAATAATACTGCTTCATAAAGTGATATATCTAATATACTCATGAATTATAAAGTATGCAATGTTACTGTATGAAAACGTTTATTCCACCGGTAGTAAAAAAACGGTTTTACCATCAAACGGCACTACATACAACATGAATTAACCACCACTGGTGAAACATCAGTTTAACATGCTGTAGATATGATAATATGGAAGAAGTATGGAAATATTCACTCACATCAAGAAATTATCGGACTGTTGAGAATAAGAAAAGACGAAATTAGATAAAAAAATACTTTATGTTAACCAAAAACCGATTTATCAAAACGCTACATTTATTGTCAAATGATGTCTTAAACGTTGAGTCAAATGATTTAAGTCTAACAAACGACTATTTGTATTTGGATGTATCATTTTTCATAGATCGTCTTCAAAGAGTTCAGGTGTTTTCCCAGGGGATTTTCCTCACTAGTGGAAGTATCATTTTTATACATGGGAAATTCAAAAAGTTATTTTGATTGAAACCGTTGCAATTTATTATACTTTTATGAAAGTCGAAACAAATGAATCAAGCTTATGAGCTGAAACTGACAATTTTGATAGATATCTGGAAAATACAAGACAATTTAGGGAATTTCACTGTATTCATATGTTACACTGACTATTCTGGACAGAAAAACTATCACTTACAAATGTAGCTGAGATGAATAATTTCATTCTATCCGCTTTTATTCTCCATAAGATTAATGGGATACTTCTGTCCACTATCCCCTTAGTAATATTTCCAAAATTGCACCGAATAGTATTTCTGAATTTATAAAATTCAAAGCCGAAACCTAAGGAAAAATAATTCATTCAGCAGATAAGTTGAATATAACAAAGATCACCACTTTAGCGCTTTGTGACACGTTACGAAAGCTGTCGAAGAAACTGCTTACAAATGTGTTTACTTGGTTAGGAAAAGTCGCGCTTCACCTCCCATTCGTCAATATATAACTGTACTATTTGTGTTGAATAGTTGGTTGGATCCTTTCATTGGTTTTCAAGAATGTCAAGTGTTTTTTTTTTAACTTATTATTTTTTTTGATTGCATTGTATGCCTTATTTAAGTTGTTTTTCCCTATTCCTTTACGTTCCCAGTGGAACATAGGACTTCAAGCTAGAGCCTTGAAGTTTCGGTATCAGTGATGTTTATTTTTCCAGGATGGGGTTGCTAGCCTCATGCCCAAACTTTCGTCTTTGCCAGTCTTACTACTGGCTTAGCGAGGTATGGAAGTGAGTCGGCCAGGGTTAGAACTCTGGACCACATGCGTGGTAGGCGAGTATTTCTAATCAGTTTAAATTTCTTTTTTGATTATAGCTTGATTCCACACCGTATTTTTGGTACAAGTACTGAATTTTCAGCATGCGATATCGGTAGCCCAAATTTTGCAGGCTGACCATTGATATCAGGTGTGCATCGGCAGGAGATCGAACTCCTGACAATGTGAATGGTCTGTGAGAGTCCTAACCGCTGTGCCACCAACGCACAAAGTTTTCCTCACAATTTTCTAGGTAATAAAGTATTCCTACGCGTCTATTCATCCATTAATCAAGCCATTTTTAATAACTATTCAATAATA